GTGCCCGGGGCTCGGCAGGCCGGGGGTGCCCGGGGGATCCCGCGGCGCCGCCGCCGCTCGCCCCGCTCCTATTGACTTCCCATTGTGGAGCTTCGCAACAAAGGGTAGGATCCAAACCCTGCCCCGTTTCGTCCAATCAGCGCGCAGAGCGCCCGCCCGCCGCCGATTGGGTCCTTCTCCTCCCTCAACACCCAATCGGGCACCTACTTTAACAACCAATCAGCGCCCGGCCGCGCGCCCAATCAGCGCGGGGGAACCGGAGCACGGCCTTTGTGTGCGGTGACGCGACGGCGCCGGCGGAGGTCCCGGCCAATAGCGCGGCGCGTTGCTTACAGGCATTGTGACGTCACCGCGCCGCGCGCGCGCCCCCACTATAAAGAGCGTGTCCCCGCGGCGGGGAGGGCGCAGTGAGCGGCGCGGCGGCTGAGGAGCGGCTCGGGCAGCGGCACGGCGTGGAGGCTTCGGCGCGCAGCGCTACCGGCACCGGCGCTTCCTTCTCTTCCTACCGGTAAGTACCGCACAGCGGGCGCGTCTCGAAGCGGGCGGTGGTGCTGCGCGGCCGTTCGCGGCCTTGCGTTCTTCCCGGAGCGCGGCGGCGGCGGGCAGGCCGGGCCTTGCCTACGTGCCCTGAGTCACGGCCGGTTCCCATCCCCCACCATTGCACCTCCCCCCCACACCCCGGAGCGGGCCGGGAGGAAGGAGGAGGCGGCGTGACTCAGTGCGCGCTCCCCGGGGAGGGGAGCGGCCGGGCCGCGAGGCGGGGGCGGCGGGGTAACCGTTACTCCTCCTCCCCGTCCCGGGGGAGGCCGCTGGCCGCCCGCCCGCCGCGGGGGCGGGGGGCGCTCGGAGCGTGAGCCGCTGCTGTCGTCGGGCCTGGGGGTCACGGGGACAGCCGGGCCGCGGTGTCACACGTGTGTGTGTCTCTGTAGGTAAGTGAGGAAAAATGGCCCGTACAAAGCAGACCGCCCGCAAGTCCACCGGGGGGAAGGCGCCGCGCAAGCAGCTGGCCACGAAGGCGGCCCGGAAAAGCGCCCCCTCTACCGGCGGCGTCAAGAAGCCTCACCGCTACAGGTAAGGCCCTCGGCTCGGCCCCGGCTGCCGCAGCCGCTGCCCCGCCTCACCGCCCCCTCCTCCCTCTCCTATCCAGGCCGGGAACCGTGGCGCTCCGTGAGATCCGTCGTTACCAGAAATCCACGGAGCTGCTGATCCGCAAGCTGCCCTTCCAGCGGCTGGTCAGGGAAATCGCCCAAGATTTCAAAACGGATTTGAGGTTCCAGAGTGCGGCCATCGGTGCTCTGCAGGTACTGCTGGGGGCCGGCCGGGCTGCGGCGCCGGGGGAGCTGCGCTCGGGGGTTTTAACAACGTTTCTTGTGCTCTTGAAACAGGAGGCCAGCGAGGCATACCTGGTGGGTCTGTTTGAAGACACAAACCTGTGTGCCATCCATGCCAAGAGAGTCACCATCATGCCCAAAGATATCCAGTTGGCTCGCAGGATACGGGGAGAGAGGGCTTAAGTGAAGGCTGTTTTTATGGTGTTTTGTAGTTAATTCTGTAAAATACTTTGGTTTTAATTTGTGACTTTTTTTGTAAGAAATTGTTTATAATATGTTGCATTTGTACTTAAGTCATTCCATCTTTCACTCAGGATGAATGCTAAAAGTGACTGTTCACATAAACCTCAGTGATGTTGAGCCTCGGGCTCGGGAGTGACAAGTTGCTAATATGCAGAAGGGATGGGTGTTCTTTCTTGCTTCTCATGCATGTTTCTGTATGTTAATGACTTGTTGGGTAGATAAACTTGTAAGGTACTAGAATTGATATAAATGTGTACAGGGTCCTTTTGCAATAAAACTGGTTATGACTTGATCCAAGTGTTTAACAATTGGGGCTGTTAGTCTGACCATGCATCACTGTGATCAAATGTGGACTTCCTTCAGAGGGTGAAACTACAAGTCTTAACCACAGTGTAACTTACAGTTTCCTAAAAACGTAAACCTGGCAGCTATAGAATACACTATGTGCATTTATAATAGCTATTTTATATATTGTAGTGTCAACATTTTTAAATTAAATGTTTTACATTCACATGTGAGGAGTCTTTGTCATTTTGGTTTGAATGGGCTTGAAGCTTCTGCCTCCTACAGATTCCTGTAATCGTGGGCTGCTGCTGGGGCAGCTTGACCTCTGCTGGCAACAGAATGGAGAACTTTTGGAGTGTTTTGGAGATTTGGAGCAGCTCAAGTCCTTGCTGTGGCCAGTGAGAGGGGAGCCCCATGGCTGTGTAGGGTCCAGGACTGGCTGAGGCTGCAGTGGCTTTTTGGGGGCTTTTCTCTAATCTGGGCACAAGCTGAGCTCTTCAGTTCGTTCTTCCTTTCCAGTGGATGCAGGGAGAGTTTATTTTGGAGTTATGACTGACTGAAGCAAAACCACCTGGCTGTTCCTGAGCAGTGGGGGGAGCATTCCCCTGGGATTGGGCTGTGCCAGTCCTGGAGCTGCACGGGCCACAGCTGCTTTTACACCCTGGCAGCACACGGGTGCGTGCTCCAAGATCCTCATTTCCCATCCAGGCTTTTGGATGGAAGGTGACTGAACTCAAACCTTGGCGTAAGGCAGGTCTGGGTTCCTCAGCTGTGCTCAGAGTGTGCCTGACCCGGGGTAATTAACAGTGATGAGGGGAGGGCACTAATTAACCCTGATGAGGGGAGGGCACGGCTGCTCAGCCCTGCCCGAACAGGCTCTGCAGGTGAGGCTGGGCTTGTCACAGACAGCAGCACAGGGAAGTGGTTGAGCCAGCCTGGCTTGATTTATTCCAGTGGAAGGAAGTGTTGTGGTGTTCTTGGGGAAGAGCAGCAGCCGTTCCCACCAGACTCGAGTCAATTGGAGCTCACCAGGATGGTGAGGAAGAGCAGGAATTCCATCCCAAGTCGCTCTGGGAGGCAGCTGCTGGTGCCTCGTGGTGTGCTCCTCCCTCAGACAAACCACTCGGTGTGCTTAAATCCTGCAGCTGGAGGAACAGGCACTGCTCACCCACCTTCCTACACAGCCTCCTCCTCTTCCTCACCTCCCTGTCCTACACTGCTCCAAGCACTTGGAGCAAACCCAGCCCCTGGCTCGCAGAGTCCTGCCACAATCCTGTTCTGAAATGATAGGTTTTAAACAAGTGTTTTCCTATTTTACTTGCTAAAGCTGCAGGGGAAAAGATTCCTTTGATACAAAGTAATGAGGTTCACAACTTAGACACAAAGTTAAGCACCAGCCCACACTAAAGGTGGGGCTCAGTGATCTCGGGTCAATCACCCGGGCGGGTCTCTCCAGGGACCCTGCCTGCCAGGAATGTCCCCATGGAACATCAGAATCCTCAGTGGCCCATGGAATTCAGGAAGAACCCCACAGCTCGCATTTAGGCCAATTGAAAATGAAAAATTCCAAGTCACAGAATTTTTTTTTGTGAATGCGTGCTTTGGTGCTGAGCTGCAGTAGCAGCCTCAGCTCCTGCAAGAAAAGTATGTTTAAAATAACATCCCTTGAAAACGGTATTTCCTCCAAGTCCTTACTGGAAACAATGAAGCATCTGGGTATGCCTAGAAGCTGTTTCTTAAAATAAAATCATTGTCTAGTGGTCCTTAAAAAAAAAAATCCCACACCAGAGAAATATCTCTTCATCTTAGTAACCTCAACAGAGGGAATTAAGTCAGATCCTGCATGTGGCAGACCGGAACAGAATTCCTGGTATTCCACGGTGTGACTGATGGTAGCTGAAGCCATAACCCCTTCCCTTACCGATCCTGCCGATGATTTCCTCGCATTCCTGCTCAGAACTGGCTGCAAACACCAGGCAGTCAAACGTGCTCCCGTCAGGGCTCTCGGGGGAAGAGCTAAAAATGGAAACGCATCCATTATCCAGCAGAGCTCGGAGCCCAGCCCTGCCTCCCACTGCACCAGGGACCCTGTGCCTGCTCTGGACCTTGTGTGCTCATTTCCCAGAGCCACATCCCCCTGTGCCTGCTCTGGGCCTTGTGTGCTCATTTTCCAGAGCCACATCCCCCTGTGCCTGCTCTGGGCCTTGTGTGCTCATTTTCCAGAGCCACATCCCCCTGTGCCTGCTCTGGGCCTTGTGTGCTCATTTTCCAGAGCCACATCCCCCTGTGCCTGCTCTGGGCCTTGTGTGCTCATTTTCCAGAGCCACATCCCCCTGTGGCTGCTCTGGACTGGCTCACTCATTTTCCAGAGCCACATCCCCCTGTGGCTGCTCTGGACTGGCTCACTCATTTTCCAGAGCCACATCCCCCCGTGCCCCTGGCAGGCAGAGCTCACACCACGCAGAAGGCGAAGATCCTGGGGCTCCACGTGCAGCGTCCCACGCAGGAGATGGAGGGGTAGGGATGGCAGCAGAGCAGCTGTGCAGGGGACAGGGAGGGGACGGTGTTTGGGGCTGTGGTCAGGCCCTGTCAGCCCCGTTCCTGGTTTGTTCTGTCCCCTCCAGCTGGGCTCCCCATGCCACCAGACTCCCCGACCTTGGATGTCACTCACTCACCTTGGAAGAAGCCTTCTCCTGCACAAGGACTTCTGCCTCCTTCACATCAAATAAAACCTCCTGCAGGGGGATGAGGGGTGAGAAGCCCCGATCAGCACAGCCCTGAGCTCTGCTTTTAATCAGACACCAGCCAGAGATTATCCAAATGCAGAGGTGATGAAGCACAGTCGGCCTCAGCTTTTTCAAATTTTCTCTCTGCTGCTCTTTTTCCCCCACCACTCAGTGCTTCCACACTTCAATCTTTTCACAAACAATCCCCAGAGGCTCAAACAACAGTGACCTGAGCCCTAAAGCACCCCCAGAATCAGGCTGAGCCCTCCCAGAGTTTTCCAAGTGCTTTCCTGCATGCGGCTGCATTTTTTCCTTAATGCCCTTTCCTATCCTGGCTGCCGAGATGCTTCTGACCTGAAAAAAACCCACAGGGGTGATGGGGTGGCAAATATTCAGCCAAGCCAAGTGAGCCTGGAGCTGGAAAACAATATCCATGGCCTGCATCCTCTGACAGCCCTTCCCAGGATGTCCCCAGCCCCGTGCTCACCCGTGCTGCCAAGTTCCTCTGCAGCACGGCAGGGATGGCCTCCTCCAGCACCTCTTTGCCACCATACTGGAGGGATGGGAAAGAGGGAATAACCCTTGGACACATGAACTCCAGAAGAGATGATTCACCCCCTGGCAGGTCTCTGCCCCACAGCCTCACCGTGCCAACGCTGGTCTGGCCCAGGAACCGCAGGTTGTAGAGCAGCCTGGGGAGAAAAGGGCTCGGGGGGCATCAGGGGAAGGGCCCCACACATCCCTCCTGCTGCTCTTTGCAGGGAAGATGCTCCCAGCCCACTCCCCCTCCTCCCCTCCAGGCCATGGGGGCAGCCTTGGCCCCACAGCCTGGAGCAGAGGTCAGGGACAGTGTGGGCACAGGGGGGCTGCCCATGGCACAGACCCACCTGCCCCCCTGCAGCAGCCGGGGCTCCCCCTCTCCCCTGTGCCGGGGGCTGTGCTGCAGCTGGAACTGGGGCTCCTTCTCCTTCAGGGCCTCCAGGTAGGGCAGCAGAGGCTCAAAGACCCTCCCGTGGTGCCACCGCCAGCGCAGCAGGCGCAAGGTGAGCGGCTGTCCCTTCAGCCTCTGCAGCACAGCCCCGGCCTGGAGGGACGGAGGGAGGGAGGAGCAGAGGGGAGCAGGGGGCAGAGGAGGGGGACAGCCCAGCCCTCTGCCCCCACCCACCTGCCCGGGGGAGGCGCAGCTCAGCGAGCAGCCGTTGATCTCATCGAGGATGTCACCGGCCAGCACCACCTCGTCCATCTCTGCCTGGCTCTCCGGGAGCACCTCGGTGACAAAGACTCGGCCGTCCACGTACCTGGGGGTGCAGCCAAGCCTCAACTCGGCCCCAGAGAGCCTGCCTGGCTCCCCTTCTGTACCATCCATGGCATTTCACCCACACGCTGAATGCAGGGAAAAGCCGCCTCATGGACAGCAGATACTGGCAAGGCTGAGCTGATGGGGAGAAAAGCACCCAAGGCAGCCTCAATGCTCTCAGCAGGATATTTATTTCCCTTTTTGGGGCATTTTCAGTGCTGTGGTGACCAGATCCCTCTGGAGAGTGGAGAGGAGGATCAAGAGCTCCTACCTGAGCACCATCCCCAGTGCTCGGCACGGGACTGTCTCGTAAGTAGTGCACACCTGAAAGAGAGTGGATGGTGACAGTGCCCTTGGCAATGGCCGTGGGACATCCAAGGGACCCCATGCCCTGAATAATTTCTGGCACTGATGCTAACCCAGGGCTTTGGGGGCCCAGGGAGAGGCAAGTCCCAGTGCCCCAGGCTGAGCTGGGACCATCAGTGGCTGCTTGTCTCTGTCCTCTCTCAGGATTCGGCTGTGCCCAGACCCTGAAGGGACAAAGCTGCTCTGGGCATGGGATGGCAAAGCAACAGCAAACCCTTAACTCACTGAAGAGCCCTCCTGCCTCACCCTACATGTCCCCACGCAGCCGGGGGACGCAGCTGCCCCTCCCCAAAGGCGCTGCTGTTTGCAGCAGCACTTACTGTCACATCGCATTAGCCGGGGCCCCGAGACGCGGCCAGCTCGGCCGGGGGCACTGGCTGCCAGAAATGCCCCAAAACCAGCAGGATCCCAGCCTCTGCAGCAGCACCACGGTTCAGTGCATGCCTTGACCAGCCCCAAAACTGCCTCGAGCTTTTTGGGGATCCTTTTGGGTTTAAAAGGTGGTGGAGGGATGCTCTTTGTCGTTAAAAGACATGAAGGCGTCCCTGCTGTTCTCAATAGCACACTGATGTTTCACTGAGCAAACCAAGAGTGAAACCAACTGATGCGTAATCTGTGTCAGCCCAGGGAAATGGGGATTTTTTTTGGCAAGAAATCAGGGAAGGGAGCATGGGAAAACTTCACTTCTATCAGCCATTTAGGCCTGGGTACTTCTCTTGCTTGGTTTTACTCCTGGGAGTGCTGGGATCTGCTCCTGGTGATGGTGCAGGTACCCAGCAGGATCCAACCTCCACAGCAGAGGCAGCTCTGCTCATCCTGGTGAACCTGAGCCAATTCACCCCGGGTGTGTGGCAATCCCTCCCCACCAAACCGTTCCTTATCTTCCTCATTTGACTTGTCAGGGAGGGCCAGGTGGCGGAAGCGGCTCCCGGGAGCGCTGGGCTCTTACCGGCAGCAGCCAGCTCTCGTCCAAGAAGCTGCAATTCTGCAAACAAAGGAGTGTCAGCACCACCAGTCCCGCCAGGGAAGGGGCCAGGGCCCCACGGTGGCAGCCCCGTGCTGGTCACCACCCCACTGATTCACCACTGCACCTGCAGGTCCAGGGAGAAATCCATCTCTGTCAGCACCAGCAGCAGCGAGAGGAAAGGCTCTGCAGAGGGATGGGATGGAGAGAGGCAGTGTCACTGCTGGGCTCCTGGCAGCCATAGCCTCACAGGGGCATGGCAGAGGACAGGATAAAGCCATTTGCAGTGTAACTAATGAGTCCTGGGAGCGAGGCCTTGGGAGCATCCCAGCACCATGCACCCAAGTGCTGCTGGAGGCTCATCCCAGGCTCCTGCTGCCAGCACAGGAGCACCTTGGTACCTTTTGTCACAAAATTCAAATGCAGACTTGCAAATGCCACTGACTATTTCTCCCCTTAGAAGCACAGCAAAGCTGCCCAGACTCTCCTACACAAGCCTTGCAGTCACACTGCCAGGTCTGCAATCTGCTCATGCATCAGCAGCGCGGGTGATTTATAAACCATTGATGTACAGGTTTAACATGGGGTTATTTATCATAATCAAAAGATTAAAGGCTTCTGCCCTGGCCTGGCCCCCCAAGGAGCCTGGCTGTGGATGGATGGAGTGCTGCAGCCTGTCAAGGCAATGTAAAGGTCATTTAAACCCCTGTGCCACCCCTTGGCCCAGGCCGACCCAACACGGCCTCCCCTCAAAGCCAGACTGGCTCTGCTTAAGCCAGAATCCTTGGTACAAATGAATAACATGGAAGATACTTCAGAAGAAACTTTCCTATCCCATGCCACTGAAGCAAACCTTAGATGGAGTCAAATCATGTTAAAATATTTACACGGGTGGCGTTTTTTTGGTTTTGGCGGGGTTTTTCCCCCCCCATCACTGCAGCAATGTATTTAGATTCCAGTGCTAAGAAAAAATCACAGTGGAGTCTTCCCCCTTCCCTGCAGCAGCGCAGTGCCACAGCACCGGCTGCATCCTGCCTCGGGCGAGCCACCATCTTACCCCGGAGATCTTCACAGCCGAGGATGGAGCTCCCTGGATCATAAAACTGAAATCCAGTCAGACAGCACGGGTTACTCCTGCCTTCCGCAGCCCACCGCCCGTGGGTAGCATCCCCACCATGTGCCCACCTCCAGGAGCCGGGGGCTCTGTGCCAGCTGCCCCACGGCCGCCGGGAGCGCCTTTCCCTGCAGGGCGGAGCGCAGGAAGCAGCGCCCGCGGCCCCGCGCCGTCCGCGCCCGCTCGCAGCCCGCGGCCCTGCGGATGCTGCCGGACAGAGGGCTCGGCCTGTGGGGGACAGGGGACAGCTTTGGCGGCACACCGGAGCGTCCTCCCTGCCCCTTTGGGATGACATGTCGCGGCAGGGGCCAGCACAGCTCGGGTTTTCACCCCAGTCTAGCCCGGGGGCGCTCACCCAGTGCCCGCGGGGAGCTGCTCCAGCCAGTGCCAGTAATCCCGCCTGCGGAAGCCCCAGGCCGGCTCTGCGGGAGAAAGGGAGTGCCAGACCCCTCGCCTCGGGGCCGGGGACGCTGCCACGGCCCGCCCGGGCACGAAGGGTCACTCACGTCGCAGCCCCTTGCGCAGGATGCTCTCCAGCAGCTGGCAGAGGGACACGAGGTGCGGCGAGGCGTCCGTGCAGGGACCGCCGCCCTCCCGCAGCCGCAGCACCGCTCCTGGGGGCGGACAGAGAGCGGCGGCACCCGTGGGTGCCCAGCAGGGAAAGGGGACAGGGACCGGGGGACAGCTCTGCACTGCCCCCGGGGGGGTCCGGCACCCGGGGAAAGGGGACAGGGACCGGGGGACAGCTCTGCGCGACCCCGCGGGGGGATCCGGTACCCCGGCACGGCACGGCACGGCCCGACCCGGCTGCCGCCGCCGCGCTGGGCAGGAACTCGGGTGAAGTTCCTCCAAGCCAAGGTCGGGCGGCGGGGCTGGCCCGGGGAGCCCCAGCGCGGCCCCGCCGTCCGTCCGGTCGGACCGGTACCGGAGCGCTGCCCGGAGAAGCTCGCACAGGTGTCGGGGGGCCCCAGGCTCACCTTTAAGGGCGCTGAGCAGCGGCTCCTTCCTGGCCATGGACTCGCCGTCACCCAGGGCCAGGTGATCCCGCGACGGGGGCTGGATGGGAGCCGGGAACCGAGGAACCGGGAACCAGGAATGGGGAACCGGGAACAGGAACGGGGAACCGGGAACCAGGAATGGGGAACGGGCCCCGCCCCAGGAGCAGTGCGGAGCAGCCCGGCCCCACGGGCGGGGGGAGCCTCGCACACACACAGGTGTACGTGTACTCAAACAGAAAGCACAGGCGCTGGTGTACACAGGTGTAGCACAGTGACACATTTACCTATTGGTCTGCACAGATGTATAAATTCCACGCATTGCATAGGCAGAGCCCGCAAATATGAGACACGCGTGCAAAACAAACACGCGTTTATCTCTGGGTGTATTAGGACGGGCTTTGGGAAATGTGTCATAGATCTTGGGTGCCGGCCCCGCCGCAGGTACACACGGGGCGAGTGTGGGCGAGCGCTCGCCCTGTCCGTAGGGATGTGCACGAACGGCGTGCACAGGACCGTGAGAAGAGGCGGTGCGGGGCGCTCGGGGCGGTGCGGGACTGCCGGGGCGGTTCGGGGCGCTCGGGGGCAGTGCGGGGTACTCGGGGGCGGTTCGGTGCGCTTAGGGGCGGTGCGGGACCCATCAGGGGCGGTTCGGTGCGCTCGGGGCGGTGCGGGACTGCCGGGGCGGTTCGGGGCTCCCAGGGCGGTTCGGTGCGCTCGGGGCGGTTCGGTGCGCTCGGGGGCGGCGCGGGGCAGCCGGGGCGGTTCGGGAGCCGTCAGGGGCGGTTCGGGAGCCGTCAGGGGCGGTGCGGGACCATCAGGGGCGGTGCAGTCCGGCCATGGCGGAGCCGCAGGAGCCCGGTTCCTCCTCGCTGCTGGCGGCCGCTCGCCGGGCGCACGAAGAGGCTTTCGGGGGTGCGGCGGTGCTGGCGGCCTGGGCCCCCGGCCGGGTCAACCTCATCGGAGAGCACACCGACTACAACGACGGCTTCGTGCTGCCCATGGTAAGGGCCGTGCTCCGGCCCCGGGCTCTCGCCGTGTCACCCTTCCGGGTCCTCCCGGCAGCCGCCCGGGGGTCCTCGGCCACCGCCTTCCCGCCCCTTCCGAGGATGCCCCCTCCAGGATACCCCACCCCGGAGCCCGAGGGATCCTCCGGGATCCCCTGCCCGGAGCGCGGGGCTCGCAGCCGGACCTGCTGCAGCCCCCCCTGCAGACCGACTCCTCACGGCTTCCCGGGGATGTGATTCTCTTCCCAGCCACTTCTCTGAGAGGCTGAAGCCTTTTTTCTGCAGCCCCGTCAAACTTCCCGTTCCCAAAGAGCGGTGTTTTGGTAGCAGAAACGGTTCAGAACAGCAGGAGCTTCCTGCTCCTTCCGAGCCGCTTTGGCTCAGAGGCAAAGTCCCCACTCAGTCCTAAATCAAACCTACAGCTAATTACTGAGAGGCCGGGGAGCGTGGGAGCAGGTCAGCTGAATTCCATGGCAGGCAAGGAAACTTCCCGAGGTTTCTTGGTGTGGTGACCACTCCCCCGGAGCCCAACAAGCAGCACCGAGCACCGAGCTTGGGGGGTCAGGCACATTTAGGGGCAAGACTGTCCCCGTGGGTCAGTAAACAGGCAGGGAGTTTAATTCTGTGCCAAAGCAGAGGGTGCACTGTGGGCTCGGGGGGGTTAAAGACAACACTTGGATGCTCCAGCTGTGGGCTGAAGCAGCCACAGCTGTCCCCTGCCACCCGTGGGGATGCTCCAAGGGGTGCTGCAGGGTCTGAACCCACCTTCCCCCCGCCAGGCCCTGCAGCTGGGGACGGTGCTGGTGGGATCCCCCACGCAGGACAACACCATCTCCATCGTCACCAGCTCGGCAGAGGCGGATGAGCCTCACAAGGTGCAGTTCCCGGCGCCCCGTCCCAACAGCCCCCTGAGCCCGGGGCTGCCTCGCTGGGCCAACTACGTCAAGGGCGTCATCCAGCACTACCGGGGTAAGGCCTGGGCTGGGGGCTGCTCAGAGCCCCCTTGCAGGGAGCTGGTGTTCAGATCCAGCTTTGGGGGCGCTCCAGGGGCTCTTCCAGTGTCTGTGTAATCCTGCAGCTCTCTGCCAGAACCAGGCTCCGGAAAACTCCATCTCAGCTCCAAGGTTCCTGTGCTTGGGGGGCTGCAGGGTCACACTCTGCTGTGGGTCACCCTGTGCTCTGAAATGTTGCACAGGGGCTCCTTGTGCTATTCCCTGTGAGCTGTGGGGCACACAGAGCCCTGCAGGGGCTCATGGCCCCCCTCCTCCCTTCTCTTCCTGCAGGTGGTCCTGTGCCAGGCTTCACTGCTGTCGTGGCCAGTAATGTCCCCCTGGGCGGGGGCCTCTCCAGCTCGGCTTCCCTGGAGGTGGCTACCTACACCTTCCTGCAGCAGCTCTGCCCTGGTAAGGCAGCAGCCCGTCCTGGGCCCTGGCCTCTGCTTCCAGGTGGGAGCTGGGATGAGGGGGTGCCCTTAGCTAGGTCCCACAGCCCTTGGGAAAATGCTGCTGTGAGTGGGTAACAGCTCCCCCGCTGGCACTGCCCTGCCTGTGTGGCTCCTCTGGCTCATCCAGCCTCACCTGCCCAGACTCTAAAATCCATGGACCACTCCTGGGGCTGACTAGGGGGATGAGAGGAAGTTCCCTTGGGAGCATCCTCTCCCCACCCTAATAGCCCCAAAATCAAGATACCTGAAACACCAGTGTCAGTTATCACATCCAGCTGGATCTGGGGTCCAGGCTGCCATAGATGCCGTGCAGTGGTGCAGCAGCAAGCACCTGCAGCTGCAAAACCCCATTCCATGGGAAAACAACCCTTCACCTCCACGTTTGCTTCCCCTGCTCCCAGGCAAGGGACAAAGTTGCAGGAAGGAGCTGCTAACCTGTGTGTCTCTGCTGTGGCACAGACGATGGGGATTTGGTAGCCAAGGCGCTGGCGTGCCAGAAAGCAGAGCACACGTTTGCTGGGATGCCCTGTGGGATCATGGACCAGTTCATATCCGTGATGGGCCAGGAGGGCCACGCGCTGCTCATCGACTGCAGGTCAGGATCAAACTCGCTGTGCTGTGCCCACCTCCCTGAGCAGCTGGGGGTGAGCTGGCCCTGTGGCCATGAACTGAGGGCAGGAGTGCAGGGAGAGGTTAACCTTTGAACCCAGCCCAAAACCTCATCATGAGGGCGGGGCAGCCTGCACTTTAATTCCTCCTAGCCTTGATTCCTCCTCCTGCAACCTTTCTGCTACTTTCCTGGGCTGTCTTTCCTGCCATCCTTAGGGTCTAATATTTGGAGGGAGCGAAGTGCTGGAGTGAAATCCCAAACCACCTGGACTTTGCCTCTGTCGTTCAGGCTCTGCCTGCTGTGTGGCCTCAGGTGTCTGGGAGCCGGGCGGGCGCATGGCTGAGCTCTCCCTGCAGGTCCCTGGAGACGGTGCTTGTCCCTCTGAGCGATGCCAGCCTGGCCGTGCTCATCACCAACTCGAACGTGCGGCACACGCTGACGGGCAGCGAGTACCCCACGCGCCGGCGGCAGTGCGAGGAGGCAGCGGCGGCCCTCGGCAAGGCCAGCCTCAGGGATGCCACCCTGCCCGAGCTGGAAGGTGGGGACAGCCCCCTCCTCATCTCTGGTCACTCCTTGGGCCACGGAGAGCTTTTGGTGCCCCGTGGGCTGAGCCCCGGGGCAGGCGGGTGGGCGCGCGGCCTGTGGTGGGAGCGTGCTGCAGGCAGAGAGGCTTTGGCACAGGATGGTTGTGGGAGGCCCTGCAGCATCCTGCAGGCTGTGGGGCTTTGCTGCAGGGACACAAATGTCTCTGCAGAGGCCAGGAGCAGCCTGGGGGATGAGGTGTTCCGGCGGGCCAGGCACGTCATCGGCGAGATAGCGCGGACATCACAGGCGGCGCAGGCACTGCAGAACAAGGACTACAAAACCTTCGGGAAGCTGATGGTGGAGAGCCACAACTCCCTCAGGTGAGGGTGCCCGGGGTTGCTGACAGCCCTGGGCCAGGGTCTGCAGCACCCAGCATCGCTGCCACGGATGCAGTGGCTGCACCAGGAGCTGGAGCTGCCAGGGGTGCAATGGTTGCACCAGGACACGAGCTGGAGCTGCCAGGGGTGCAATGGTTGTGCCCGGGGTGCAGGACACGGCACAGCATGGCTCTCCTCTCTCCAGGGATGACTTTGAAGTGAGCTGCCCGGAGCTGGACGAGCTGGTGGCAGCAGCCCTGGAAGTCAAAGGGGTTTATGGCAGCAGGATGACCGGGGGAGGCTTCGGAGGCTGCACGGTGACACTGCTGGAGGCCGAGGCTGCAGCCAAAGCCCAGAAGCACATCCAGGTAGGGGGTGGAAAAGCCCCAGGAGACTGACTGGAAGGTCCCAAGGGACCTCTGAGGGGCACAGCACGGGGATGCTGTTGAACTGTCGCTCCTGAGCCCTTTGGGGTTGGTGGAGCCCAACCACAGCCCAGAGTCTCTCGATGTCACTAAGCTCTTGCAGACAGTTCAGTACTGTGCCAGTCACAAAGCCCTGCCCCAGGACCTCTTTGCATTGAGAAAGGGGGTGAAAAGGTGCTGGGGGAGCTTCAGGAATGCCAAATCCATCCACAGAAGAGTGCTTTGAGCTGAGCTTGGGTACTCCTGTGCTGAACACTGGCCATTACAGCCTGGGAAACATCTCAGTGCCATCACCAGTGTTCCCTAACTCAGCATCTTGGCGTGCACAGGTAGCTGGAAATGCCAGCAGAATGGGGTGTGAAGAAGGCAGAGCATTTTTTGCTGCTCTATGAGATCATGGTGCACTCTGAAAATAGCTGGGGGAGGGTGAAAGAAGGGGTAGAGGAGGGTCTGAAATGAGAGGAGACCAAAAGGGCTTTGGCCTCTGCCAGAGGTGGGAGAGAGGAAACATGACCAGGAGTTACAGTAAAAGAGAGGAGGTAGAGTGAGTGAGTGAGAACTGACCAGCAGGGCCTTTCCCCCCAGCCCCAGAACCCCAGCCTCGACTGCTCCTCTTGTTTTTCAGGAGAAATACAGTGGCACAGCCACCTTCTACCTCACCAAGCCCTCGGCAGGGGCAAAAGCTCTGCCCCTGTAGAGGAGTGACCACCGCCCCTGGGAGCCTTGGGCTGGCACTGCCTCCCTCCCCAAGGCTTTCCAAGGGGATCAGTTTGTCCATCTGCATCATTCACCTAATAAAAACAAAACATGTGCAAGTTGTTCTCTGCCCGTGTGAGCCAAAATCACTTGGGACTGTTCCTCAGAGGATACTGGTTTCACTCCAGCTTGCACTGGTGTAAGGAGCCATTGCCAGAGCTGCAGTCACAGGGGGGGATGGCAGTGCAGGAGCAGCAGGCACTGACACGTGGCAGAAGTTCCTGCTTGGGAATCTGCCTCTGGCCCCTGCCCTGCATCTGCTGCAGATGGAGGATAGCAGGAAGGGGGGAGGGATTTTTTTTATTTTACTCTTAAAAAAAATCAACAATAAAGAGGCAGAATATAGAGAAAATATTTATTGAGTGCAAGAAGAAGCCATCTGATCAAAGACCTGCTCTGTATCCGTCTTGGAAAGGCTGAAACAGCTCCAACAACCAGATGAAATTTAAAAAGACAGGCCTGGGTTAGTGCATGTGCATGGGGAAGGCCAGAGTCCCTGGAGAGCAGCTGATGGGCCATGCTCTGCTCTTGGAGAACAGGATCATCTTTGGTTAAAAGGCTTGGGAAACTCCCTTTTTAGGCAGTTCTCAGTGTCTGACCCTGGGCCACAAAGCCCAGGGACAGGGTCACAGAGTCCTTGAGCAGGAGGAAAGAAAATCCCAACCCCAGGCAAGAAGGGGGCAGGGAGGGAGGCAGCCTCATGCCACTGGCACCTGCTCAGGAGAAATAAGTGCTTCTTGAAGGCACAGTAAAACCTCAGGGCTGGTGAAGGATCCCTTGAGCCAAATTCAAAACTGACCCAGCTCCATCTGCAGTCGTGGAGACTCCTGTGGACTTGATTCACCCACATCCATCTTTGGCTGAAAGATGTACAGCCCTGCCCCCAGTGAAATAAAAAGCCTGAAGATGAGAAGGAGCTGTTGGTGGTGAGCTCTTCTTTAGTGTCCAAAAGAAAAAAAAAAAAAAAAGGAAATATAAAAAGAAATAAAACCACAAAAAAGCCAAGGTTCATTGTGAGATCAAAGCAGGCTGGTGATGCTGCCAGGGGCCCAGGCAGCTGCTGCTTGGGTTGGAAGCTCTAACCCACAGCAGGGGCAGCTGCTGCTCCAGGCAGGCTCCTTGCCTGCTCCCCTGCAGCTGGAACACACCAGGGAAAGCTCACACTGCTTGTTTTCCCTGGCAGAGGGCAGGGAGCCTCCAGGGATCCTGCCCAGCACTGGGACATCAAACCCAGCAGGGTCTCAGCTCAGCCCAGCCCTGTGTGAGGGGAGCTGAAGCTGGGGCTGAGAGAGTCCCAGACTTGTTCAGGATGGTGGGAGTGCCTGCCTGCTCTTCTCTTGTGTTTGCTGATAGATCACAGGTCCCTTTATGGATGGTGCTGCTGAGCAAAAAGTCTTTTAAAAGATACCCAACTTCTCCCCGAAATCTCACTCATCAGCTGTGTGAGGAATCCCAGCACAGTTCCCATCCCTCACTTCCAGAAAGCTCCCAGCCCTTCTGTGTCCAAGGGCTCCACCTGGGAGATGTTGCAGTGGGTGGATCTGGCACCTTGCAGCCTTGACTGGAGCCTCTGGTGCTGAAGGATACAAGGTCCAAGACAGAGCCCACCAGCCTCATCACAGGGTTCAAGTGGCCTTTGGATCAAGCCCTTAACTCATTTCTTCCAGTTATTCATGTTTCTCAGCAGCCACAATCCCAGTGTAGCCTCCACATTCAGCATAGATCTCATCCACCTCCATTTTTTTATAAAATAATAAAATACATATATATATATATTTATATATATACTATGAAAACTGTACAATGTTGTATGCAAAAAAAAAAAAAAAGCATCTGAGGCCATCAAGTAACGCAACACAAATGAAAGGTTAGTCTTTGCTATTGTGTACCAAATGTCAGCAGCAAAGGACAGACACAAATAGGTGCAATAAGAAAGCACAGGTTACCCCAAAACCCTACCTTTGCAGCTTTCATAAAAACCCCCATACTGAACAAAACAACTCCAGTGAACAGAGAGCCTGGAGCAAAAATGGAAATGGTGACCCTCTATAAATCATGGTTTTGACATCTGAGATCCTCTCAAAACCGTGGACCTGACAATAAAATCATTCCATTCCATTTACCTGGGGAGGCTGAAGCCCTGGAGACACCCCAATTTCTGCCCTGAAGGATGAGCTTACACACCCAGCTGTGCCACAGCTGAGTGTGCTGGGCTCCAAAGGAGGAGTCCAGAGCCTGGAGAGCCACAGAGATCTGTGCCTGCAGGAGGAGCTGCCCAAGCACCACCTGCATGAAGCACCTTTGGCTTGTTCCATAAAACGCTGGCACCTGATCCCAAAAGTCCTGCTGGTGCCCGGCTCAGGCCTCGTAGAACTGCCTCTCCACCTGCTGGGTGAGGGTCCCGCTGGCCACCACCGTGTGGCTCACAAACTCCTGGGTCAGGGTGCTGCTGGAGTTCTCCACGCGCTGGGTGGTCACCAGCATCCCGTCTGCAAGGGGAAGGCACCAAGGCTGGGGTCACAGGGAACTGCTCTGCCCTGTGACTCCAGGCAGCCTGTTTTCCATCACAGGGAGTGGTATTTAGGGACCTCTCCACACCAAGTGATGCAGTGCTTTGCTGTGGCAGTCAAGAGGATGGATGGATCTCCCAACAGCTCCCAAACTCTCATGTTACAGCATGAGCTCAAGGGGGATAACATGGGACAGCTACATTGATGTGGATAAAGGTGTTTGTCCCCCTGCTCTGTTTCTGCCTGCTCTGAAGAGACTGAACCTTGCAGGAAGAGCTCTGATTTGGTCCCTAGTGATAGTGCTGGAGGACTCTCACGTACAGCATTCCCTCCAGGGCTGGGCAGCACGTGTGGAAATGACTGCAGCTCTCCCTGGGGCAAAGCAGGGACACAGTGTAGGAAAAGAGCTGACCCTCTTCAATCCCACCTGATGGACCCTCCTCCCCTGCCTTTGGCACTTGGGGTAAAAGCAGCCTCAGACCTTGGGACAAGCAGAATTACCCTTTGTTTTCTGAGGGTTGTAAAGCAACAATGAGCCCCTACCTGTGAAGTGGGGATCCAGAGAAGAATGGCTGATGCTGGTTTTGGTGGTGTATTCAGTGGGGAATTTGTAAACTTCTCTCATGTACTGCTGTCCTCCAAACTGGGAGAAAGCACCTGGGGAGGAAGAAAAGAAATAACAGCCAAGAAATAACAAAGAGCTTCCAACTCCTCAACCCTGCACAGGGAGCACCAGCAAGCTCAGGAATTTTCCCTTGCTGATATCACAGCCAGGTTCAGGAGGAACTGGGAGGACTGGAAAGGTCTCACACCGGGCAGTCAGAAGCTGCCTCCAGGCATTTGTACAAACAGACAGAAGTTTCACCACAAGTTAAACACTGGCAGGTGTTCCCTCATTCTGTGCACAGGACTGGGAGGTGTTCCCTCATTCTGCTCACCAGGCACAGCACTGCCCTCATGGAAAACTGTCTCCATGTCTCTAATGGAGCGTGGAGTCACCACCAGAGCTGGAAAGTGACTACAGGAGTTGTGTTCCCTGCTCTGAAAGGTTTCTCTTTGCACCTCCACAAAGACAAGGGTACTGTACCTCTGTCCTGAGATTCAATGGTGATGAGGCCTTCTCTCTCTGGCCCGAAGCCTTGGGTGGTGTTGGCTTGCACTTTGAACTTGTATGGCACATTCTCACTCAGGTGGGGCACAGTCAGGGTGGTTTCCAGGTTGTCTCCTTCAACATAGATTGTCCTGGGCTCCCCTAATCCACGGAGATACAGAGTGGTGAAGACAGAGCAGAGTGATGGTCCCTCCAAACATTCAAACTCCCCTTCAACTCTGCTGCCTTGGCTGTCCCTGAGCTTTACAACCCACAGCCTGTAGGACTGCACCCACTTCTCCTAGGGCTTAAAACAACCCCATTTCACTACAGTGGGGAGCCTCAACAACCAACCTTTTTGGGGTTTGGCTGAGGTCCTTCCTCTTCCTACCACATTTATTAGCCCAGACCACACAATGGCACAAAGTGTCAGGAGCCACCAGCTCCCAGGCCTGGAACCAGCCTCATGCCCCCACTTTGTCTGCACTGATGCAAGCAAACAACTCTTTCACTGGTCCCAGCCAAAATGCAGCAGATTGCTGGAGGTATCTGGTGCACTACACAAGGGACCTGTGCTGTACCTCCTCCATGCAGCATCTCACAGGTGATCCTGTAGCCCAGGATGGGCCCGTTGGGCTCACGAGGCCTCTCCCAGCTGAGGTGCAGAGAATCCGGGCTGAGGGCAGTGAAAACCAGGGGTCCAGGGGCACAGGGGGTGCTCAGGGTGAAGGGGGTACCTGCAGGGGCACAGGGGACACGTCAGAATCACAGCAAAGGGAGCCTGGGAGGGATGTGCACAGAGCATTTATGGAATGAGCTGCAAGGGCTCAGCTGCCTGGACAACGAGTGTGAAGTGAATGTGTGGGGAAGAAGGTCCTGTTCCAAACTGAGAGGAAAGAAAGGACAGGTGAGGATGTGGCAAGGGGAGAGAAAACAGCCAGGCAGCACCCACAGACATCAGTGCCACCCTCCTGTGCCCAGCACCTCACCTGGCACGGGACTGAGCGGGCTCTGCGGGTCCACCTGGGACTCGATGGTTATGACTCCCTCCCTCTCGGGGCCCCAGCCCTCCTCGCTCTGCGCCTTCACCTTGAAGATGTACGAGTGGTTGGGCAGCAGGTCCTCCACCACCACCGAGTTCTGGCTGGGGTTGGGGATGGTGATCCTGTGCACCTCTCCTGGGACACACAGGGAAGAGGATGTCAGCGCCATGTGGCAGGCACAAAGAGCTGCAACTTTCACCTAAATTGTGTCTCAAACAAACTGCCTGCAAAAGCCATCCAGGGTCCCTCCCCAAGCACCTGCATCACACCTTGCTACCAATGATGGGTAGTGCAGGATGAGACGTATTTCCAAAAAAGGCTTGGGACAAACACCAGCTTCTTGAAAGCTCAAGGAGTTTCAGACAAAATAATTATATTTTCACTAATACTTCCCCAAGTTTAATGTAAAAATAAGATATTTTCACTTCAATCCTTCTTCCAAGTCCCTCCCATGTGTTGAAAAATTGGATGCAAGATGTTTGTGCTGATGGAGAGAATCAGTCAAAAGAGGTTTTGTTTTGGTGGAGAGATGAGTCTATAAACAACACCAGGACTTGCTCTCCCTCTAGGAGAAACAGGGAATGAAAGTTGTGAGGTAGCTGCAACATTTTGTCACCAAAAAACCCCAAACAAACAACAAAAAAACCCCAAAAAACCCCAAACAAACAACAAAAAAAAAGCTACACAAGAAGTAGATTTAGGACTCTGAATCCCAGAATGGTTGGGCTGGGAGGCACCTCTGGAGATCATCTGTTCCAATCCCCGTGGCTCAGAGCAGGGTTATCCAGAGCCAGAAGCCCCAGAGCAGACCCCCCACACTGGGAAGTCCCCCCCAGCCCCAGGGGTGCTGACTGACCTCCGTTGAGGAGCTGGTACTGCACGCTGTAGCCCTGCACCTCCTTCTCGCAGCGCGGCTCCTGCCAGCTCACCTTCAGGGACGTGGGGCCCAGGGCAGAGAACACCAGGCGGGTGGGGGTGTCGGGGATGCCCGGGGGCTTCCTGGAGTCTGAGGCACAAAGGGAACATCAGGCTGGAGATTCTGGGGATGGGGGCTAAGGGGGCTGGGGGAGAGGAGGGGGTGGCACAGGCAAACATGGGATGGTCCTGATGGTTCGGGGAGGACGTGGTGAGATGTCTCCTCTGCAAGCTGAGCTGTCATGAGGGGGACTGGCTGGCTCTGCACAGCCACAGGGATGTCCCATGGCCTCAGGGTGCCAAGCTTGGGTGGGATAAATTAATGTAAGCAACATGCCCCTGTGGCAGAGACCCAGAGAAGGGGCCTGGTGCTGGCTGTGACCTTCCTCACCCCTAAGCACCCTGTCCAG